GCAGGAATCACAGATAATTCCATAGAGGAAGAATGAGAAATTTGGGCAATTCATTGTATATCTTAGTGCAAGAGTGCCCTCTTATGTTGGAACAGTGAAGTTTACTTAATCTCTATTTTGGGGCGGGGGGAGAGCTCTAGTAGCATAGTGCCTAAGGCACTTGACTGCTAACCAGAAGGCTGGCGGTTCAAACCCACCAGCCACTTCTCGGAAGGAAGATGGGGCAATCTACTTCCATAGTGATACTGCCTTGGAAACCCAAGGAGGGGTCACTATGAGTCAGGGCCGACTCGATGGCACATAACAACAACAACAACAACAATTTTCTTTGGAGAGGATTGTCTACTGATATTTTATTATCTTATAGTCATAGGATCCTTAATTATACTCTCCAAACCAAACTCACTGCCATTGAGTCGATTCCATCTCATAGTGACTTCCACTGGGTTTCTAAGGCTATAAATCTTTACGGAAGTAGATTGCCCCATCTTCCTTCCACAGAGCAGCTGGTGGGTTTGAACCACTGACCTTCTGGTTAGCAGCCAAATGCCTTACTCACTGAGCCACAAAAGCTCTTTAGATCCTTAACTGTTGTTGTTGTTTGTTGTTATGTGCCGTCGAGTCAGCCCCAACTCATAGCGACCCCTCCTCCTTGGGTTTCCGAGGCAGTATCACTATGGAAGTAGATTGCCCCATCTGCCTTCTGAGGAGTGGCTGGTGGGTTTGAACCTCCAGCCTTCTGGTTAGCAGTCAAGTGCCTTAGGCACTATGCTACCAGAGCTCTTAGACCCTTAACTACTGGTGCTTAATTTTTTATTTTCCTTTTTATCTGCTTATTCCCTCCCTCTTCCCCAGAAGCAGTGCCTTCCCAAGATGGGTCCTGCATACTTTCCAAGCCTCTTTCTTGGAAAACCAGTATTGAAATCCCCTAGTTCTCAGACTTGTTCTTGGTATTTCAGTATCTGGGAAGGATGCTGTCTTCTGGAGGGAAATGTCCTCTCTGTTCCATCTCTTCAAGGGACTTTCTACCATCTCCTCTCTTTCAATAATCTCCACCTGATTCTGTTCCAATATGGGCTCAGGATCTGGTTCTGCTGATTATGAATTTTTTCCCCCACTTACATGTAAATTAGGGTTTGTAGTATTCTCTATGCCCTATTATGATCTAGCATGGGTGATTGTGTGGTTTTATTTGCTTTCTTCTTGGTCCTTATGGTTTCTAGAAGATGTATGTAGAGATTGGATACGAGGCAGCAAGAGGTGTTACAATCTTCATCTGTGACTATGGATTTGCCATTTTTATCTTTGTGATGCTGTGACTGTCATTTTTTTCTTCTATATTATATATATTGTTAGGTTTATTCCTGATTGCATTGAATATATAAATCTTGTTGGAAAGAACTGACATCTTAACAAGATTTTCTCTTCGTCTTTGATTTTCTGAAGTTTGGGTATAATATGCCTAGGTATAAATTTTTTAAATGTCAAAAATGAAATGGAATGCATGAAGATCAATATCTTAGGCATTAGTGAGCTGAAATGAACTAGTATTGGCCATTTTGAACCAAACAGTGATATGGTCTGCTATGCAAGGAATGACAAATTAAAGAGGAGTGGCCTCTCATTTATCATCAAGAAGAACATTTCAAGATGTATCCTGAAGTATAGTGCTGTCAGTGTTAAGATAATATACATATACCTGCAAGGAAGGCTGGTTAATACTACTACTATTCAAATTTACACATCAACCCCAAAGCCAAAAATAAATTGAAGAGTTTTACCAACTTCTGCAGGCTGAAATTGGAAAACATGCAGTCAAGATGTATTGATAATTACTGGTGATTGAAATATGAAAATCAGAAACAAAGAGGAAGCATTGGTAGTTGGAAAATATGGCTTTGGTGATAGAAATGATGCTGGAATCACATGATAGAATTTTGCAAGACCAACAACTTATTTATTGTAAATACCTTTCTTAAACATAAATAGTGACTATATATGTGGACTTTGCCATGTGGAGTACACAAAAATCAAACTGACTACATCTATGGAAAGAGATGATGGAGAAACTCATTATCAATAGTCAGAGCATGGCCAGGGACTGACTGGAACAGACCATGTATTGCTCATATGAAAGTTTAAGTTGAAGCTGAAAAAAATTAAAACAAGTCCACAAGAGTCAAAATGTATCCCACCTGAATTTAGAGACATTTGAAGAACAGACTTGATTCACTGGACACCAGTGACCCAAGACCAGACGAGTTGTGGGATGACATCAAGAACATCATATATGAAGAAAGTAAACAGTTATTAAAAAGACAGGAAAGGAAGAGAAGACCAAAATGGATGTCAGAAAAGACTCTGCACCTTCCTCTTCAATGGTAAGTAGGTGAATGGAAGAAATGATGATGTAAAAGAACTGAGCAGAATATTTCACCGGGTGGCTCAAGAAGACAAAGTAAAGTATTATAATGAAAGGTGCAAAGACCTGGAGTTGGACAATCAAAGGGGAAGAACATGCTTGGCATTTCTCAAGCTGAAAGAACTGAAGAAAAAAAATTAAGCCTTGAGTAGTGATATTGAAGGATTCTATGGGCAAACTGTTGAATGATGCAGGAAGCATCAAAAGAAGGTGGAAGGACTACACAGAGTGACTGTATCAAAGAGAACTGGTCAATGTTCAACTATTTCAGGAGGTAACATATGATCAAGAATTGATGGTAATGAAGGAAGAAGTTCAGGTTGCACTGAAGGCATTGGCAAAAAACAAGGCTCCAGGAGTTAATGGACTACCAGTTGAAACGTTTCAACAAATGGATGACGCGCTGGAGGTGCCCACTCGTTTATGCCAACAAACTTGGAAGACCTGGCCAGCTAACTGGAAGAGATTTGTATTTGTGCCCATTCCACAGAAATGTGGTGGAAAAGGATTAAGAAATTTTCAAATAATATTGTAAAATCACACGCAAGTAAAATTTTGCTGATGATACTTAAAAAACGATTGCAGTAGTACATTGAAAGGGAATTGCCAGATATTTACGCTGGATTCAGAAGAGGGTGTGGAATGAGGGATGTCATTGCTGATGTCAGATGGATCTTACCTAATGGCAAAAATACCAGAAAAATGTGTTTTATTGACTATGCAAACACACTTGACTGTATGGACCATAACAAATTATAGATTATAGATAATTTTGCAAAGTATAGGAATTTCAGAAAAGTTACATTGTGCTCATGAGGAACCTGTATATAGACCAAGATACTGCATAGTTTTAAATCAGCAAAGATGTGTGTCAGGGTTCTATTCTTTCAACCATTATTATTCAATCTGTATACTGAGCAAATAATCTGGACTATATGAAGAAGAACGTGGCATCAGGATTGGAGGAAAACTCATTAACAATCTGCGATATGCAGATGACACAACCTTGCCTGCTGAAAATGTAGAAGACTTGAAGCACTTACTGATGAAGATCAAAGACTACAGCCTTCAGTATGGAATACACCTCAACATAAAGAAAACAGAATTCCTCACACCTGGACCAGTAAGCAGCATCATGATAAACAGAAAAGATTGAAGTTATTATGGATTTTATTTTACTGGGATCCACAGTCAATGCCTATGGAAGCAGCAGTCAAGAAATCAAATCAAATCTGGATAAATCTGCTATGCAAGACTTCTTCAAAGTGTTCAAGAGCAGAGGTGTCACTTTGAACACTAAAGTCTGCCTGACCCAAGCCATGACACTTTCAATAGCCTCATATATGCATGTGAGACCTGAAAAATGAATAAGAAGGACCACAGAAGAATTAATGCATTTGAATGTGTTGTTGGTGAAGAACACTGGAAATGCCACGGACTGTCAGTAGAATGAACAAATCTGTCTTGCAAGAAGTACATCTGGAATGCTCCTTGGAAATGAGAATGGCCAGACTTCATCACTCATCCTTTGGTCATGTTGTCAAAAGGATCTAGTCCCTGGAAAGGGACACCATTCTTGCTAAAGTGAGGGTCAGTGGAAAAGAGGAAGACCCTCAACAAGATAGAGTGCCACGGTGGCTGCAACGATGGGCTCAAACATGGCAATGATTGTGAGGATGGCGCAGGACTGGGCAGTGTTTCATTCTGTTGCAGGGTCGCTGTGAGTTGGAACCAACTCAATGGCACCTAACAACAATAACATAGATTTTTTGATATTTAACCTGCTTTTTCTTTGCCTTCCTGAATCTGTCATTGGGTGTCTATGAGTAATGTTGCAAATTTTCACCCATTATAACTTCAAATATTTCTTCTGCTCCCTTCCTTCCTTCCTTCATTTTTCTTTCTAGCACCTCAAGCACACCCTTTTGAATTTGGCTGTGTTTGTAAACTTTTGGAGGGGATATGTCTCATCCAGTATTTCCGTGTGTTTAGCCGTTGAATCAGATCCAACTCATAGTGACTCCTCCTTGGGTTTCCGAGGCGGTATCACTACGGAAGTAGATTGCCCAACCTTCCTTCTGAGGAGTGTGTGGTGGGTTTGAACTGCCAGCCTTCTGGTTAGCAGTCAAATGCCTTAGGCACTACACCACCTTAGCCCATCTAATTGTCCTCTATTAATCTCTCCTCCTGTCATCTAGCAGAGAATCTGGCATAGGATTAAGACAGGTTTGAGAAGTGAAAAGTAAGTGGTAAAGAGAACCCAAAAGTCTGAAATGTAGTGCAACTGAACCCAGAGAGTTGGGACTTAGTAGCCACAAGTATTGTTAATACGACAGAGCCTGAAGGTAGTGCTGAATTGAAAGTAATTGAACAAGTACAGCTTGCTGGTGATTAGCAACATTATAAACAAAGCCTAGGACACCTATGGTGATTAAAAAGTTAGCCCATTTTAAAATTTAAAAGGGCCAGCCTATCCTCAAGTATTTTTATTTCATGTAAACTATATACTACTAATAGTTGAAAACATTTTTTTGGGGGGGAGTCATTCTTTTCTCAAATATTGACTTATCTATTTTAGGTATTCCTTGACAACATACTCTCAAGAATATGTTCCTCCGTGTGTTTACCAGCCAGTTGTGAGTATAAGAGGGCCAAGAAGCCATATTCTAATACTTATGTATGTACTTAAAATAATTCTTTACATTTAGTGTAAATAGTCAAGCTTGAGAAGAAAAGAGAAACTGCTGGGATTTATGATGTTTTATGTTTATTTAGAGCTACTAACTGTGGCAGTCAATAAAAATGTTTTATGGTTATAATTTATTTTTGGAAGTTTATAGATTTCAGAGAGAAATTATTTCATTGTCCAAAATGTATTTGTCACTGTCTTCCTTGTCTTGTTTTATTTCCCTCCTCCCTGAATTTAATTCACCTAGGATAAGAATCTACCTTTCTATTCATTTGTATTGCACATAAAAATAAGTGACTTAATTTAGCTCTGGGAAATGTGTATGTTGATTTAAAAATGTCCACTTTAAAACTTGAATATATTTGTACTTGAGAAAATGATGAAATAGGGACTAGACAAAGCTTGTTCCTGATAGCGTTATTCTGAACATGAGATACATATGTCAAAGACGATGGCCAATAATTTTCCAGTCTATCAGCACTAATCAGTAAATGAACTATAAGGTAAAAAAAAAAAAAAAAAAAAAAGAACCAAATTACAACAGCAAATTCAAATTACTTTAATGAGAAAAATTTTACCAAAATCAATAAAAGAAGATAAAGTAGTTTGTCTTCAAAGATGGCAGCCCACCCTGTTTGCTCAGGTCGCTCCCATCAAGAGGTGTCTGTTGCTCTGCCCCTTGAATCTGGACTGTCAAGTGACTGATTTGACAGTGGAACGTGGCAAAAGTGACTCTGTGCCAGTTCTAGGCCTAGCCTTTAAAAAGACTGGTTCTAAGCTAAACAATTATGTATGTCTAAATGGAGAGTGTATCCAAGATCATATACAGGGTTGGCAGACAATGGGCCTCTCGAAGAGTATGAAGGGATGGACACTGGGAGGAGGTAACTATGGGGAGGAAGTGGGAGGGGAGCTGCTGCATTGTAAATTTTGGTCAATGACATGAGACAAAGTATATGTGAACTGCTGTATGAAAAGTGAATTTACTCTGTAAATCTTCACCCAAATCCTAATTAAAAAAAAAAAAAAAAGACTGGTTCTACCTCTTAGAGCCCTGAGCCACCACATAAGAAACCCAGGGAGAAGCCATGACAAAGAACACTGATGAGTGTGACTTGTGAGTGCAGATGCAACCTTGGACATCCAGCCTTGTTTATCCTGGACTCCCGCTGCCATCTGATGATAACCACATGAGAGACCCAAGGAGAGGATAGTAAATTATTGTTTGAAATCACCAAGTTTTTGTTTTAATATGCACCAAAATATAATTGAGACAGAAATATCTACTAAAAGAGAACGTTGTTGTTTTTGTTGTCAATTCCAACTCATAGTGACCCTGTGTACAGCAGAACAAAACGCTGCCAGGCTCTGTACCACCCTCACGACTGTTGCTGTGTTTAAACCCATTGTTGCAGCTACTGTTTCAATCCATCTCATTAAGGCTCTTCCTCTTTTTGGTTAACCTTTTACCAAGCATGCTGTCCTTGTCCAGGGAATGATCTCTGCGGATAACATGTCCAAAGTACATGAGACGAAATATCACCATCTTCACTTCTAAGAAGCATTCTGACAGTACTTCTTCCAAGACAGATTTGTTCATCTTATGGGAGTCTATGATCTATCCATTATTCTTCACAAACACCATCATTCAAAGACATCAATTCTTCAGTCTTCCTTATTTATTGTTCAGCTTTCACTTACATATGAAGTGATTGGAAAATGCAATGGCTTGGGACAGGTGTACCTTAGTCCTCAATGTGTTATCTTGCTTTCTAACACTTTAAAGATTTGTAGCTGATTTGCCCAGTGCAGTGTATTGTTTGATTTCTTGACCGTTCTTCCATGGGCATTGATTATGGATCTGAGTAAAATGAAATCCTTGACAACTTCAATCTTTTAACCATTTATCATGATGTTGTTTATTGGCCCAGTTGTGAGGATTTTTGTTTTCTTTATGTTGAGGTGTAATCCATACTGAGGGTTGCAGCCTTTGATCTTCATCAGTAAGTGCTTCAAGTCATCCTTGCTTTCAGCAAGCAAGGCTGTGTCATCTGCAAATCACAGCTTGTTAATGAGTTTTCCTCTAATACTGATTCCGTATTCTTCTTCACGTAGCTCATCTTCTTGAATTATTTGCTCAGCATACAGATTGATTAAGTATGGTGAAAGGACATAACCCTGATGTACACCTTTCCTGATTTTAAACCATGCAGTATCTCTTTGTTCTGTTAGAACAATGTCTATTGGTCTATGAACAGGTTCTGCATGAGCACAATGAATTGTTCTGGAATTCCCATTCTTCGAAATATTATCCATAAATTGCTATGATCCACACAGTTGAATACCTTTGCATATTCAATAAAGCATAGGTAAACATCTTTCTGGTAATCTCTGCTTTCAGCCAAGATCCATGTGAGAGTAGCAATGATATTCCTCATCCACAATTTGTTCGGAATCCTGCTTGAATTTCTGGCAGTTCCCTGTTGAGGTACTGCTACAACCATTTTTAAATTATCTTCAGCAAAATTTTACTTGCATGTGATATTAATCATATTGTTTGATTATTTCTTTATCCTGTTGCATCACCTTTCTCTGGAATGGGTGCAAATATAGATCTCTTCCAGTGGTAGCTGGCATTGATGAGTAAGCACTTACAGCATTACATCCATTGGTTAAAACATCTCAACTGGTATTCAGTCAATTATGGAGCCTCATGTTTGGCCAACGCCTTCAGTGAAACTTGGACTTTTTCTTTCAATACCATTCATTCTTAATCATATGCTGCCTCCTGAAATGGTTGAATATTGACCAATTCTTTATGGTACAATGACTCTGTGTATTCCTTTCATCTACTTTTTTTTTTTTTTTTAACTTTTTATTGTGATTTGGGTGAAAATTAACAACAAATTTGTTTTCCACTCAACAGTTCATATACATTTTGTTTCATGATGTTAATTGCAACCCTCGCAATATAACAGCTCTCTTCCTCCTTCTTCCCTGTGGTTACCTTTTCCCTGTGTCCTTCTTTCCAATGCATTCCTGCCCTCCGAGCTTTCTGCCTCCAGAATTGCTGCCCTTCTGATCTCCAGTGGTTGATTTTTCTAAGGAGTGCACTTACCTGGTTTGATTGTTCACCTCATAGGCCTGCCTATTGTTTGGCTGAAAGTTAAGCCATGAGAGTGAGTTCAATTCCAGGCCTACAGGGTGACCACAGGCCATAGTGTCAGGGGTATCACAAGTCTCCGTCAGACCAGTAAGCCTGATCTTTTTTGTTATTTTGAGATTTGTTCCACATTTTTTCCCCACTGTATCCAGGATCTCCGATGATTTTGATCCCATTCCAAGTGGTTGGCACTAATAACGCGACACCATCTAGTTCCTCTGGTCTCAGGGTTGTGTAGGCAGAGGTTCCTATGGTACACTAATCCCTTGGGCTAATTATTTCTATGCATATTTGATTTTCTCCACTCTTCTTTGTTCCATATGAGGAGAGACCAGTTGTTGCATTTAAATGGCCACTCATAAGCTTTTTATGATGAGATGATGATGATGATTTGGGTGAAAGTTTACAGAACAACTTCATTTTTGCTCATAAGCTTTTAAGGGCCCAGTTGTTACTCACAAAAGTAGGATGTAGAACAATGTTTATGTTATGCCAATTGAGCTTTATGTTCCCTGCGACTATGGTCCCAAGCCCACAGGTCCAGCAACTCACTCCCTCAAAGTGTTTTACTGTGGCTAAGAAGTTATCATAACTTTGCCTCCTGTTCACCCTATTATATATATGGATATATTTGTAGCACATACAAATACATATATAGAAATATCATCTGCCAAACCTATGTATGGTAATGGGCATATTCCCTTTCACCTACCCGTATCTGATCATCTTGCCTATCTACCTATGTCTCCACCCATTGATTACTGTCTGTTATTACAAATAATGTAGTATTACGTATGTTAAAGTGTTCACCTTTATTGTCTGTACCTCTTGTGCACGTCTCTGAATTTTCCTTTTCTTTAGTGATATTGTGCTGGCCACATGATTTTGGTATATTGCCTTTCCCTTCACTCAAATCAATATGTGTCTCTTATCTAGTTAGCAATTTTTCCTTTTCCTCCTCTCCCATATCTGGTAACCACCAAAGAATGTTACCTTTTGTATGTAAATCTTTCCTTGCCTTTTTATAATAGTGGACTCATACAATATTTGTCCTTCTGTGATTGACTTATTTCACTCAGCAAATGTCCTCCAAGTTCATCCATGTGTTTCACAGATCCTTCATACTCTTCATCATTCTTAATGTTGCATAGTGTTCCCTTGTGTGTATGTATCATAGCTTGATTATCCATTCATCCATTGATTGGCACTTAGGT